TGTTAACTATGTTTTTAAAAAATTTTACATTGAAAACAAATATTAAAACTTAAAAAAATATTTGGTAGGTTTTGGTTGGTTATGGTAGGAAATTTGGTAGGAAAAAAATTTGTCTGTGGCAACGCTGCCCACGATGCAAATTGACATCGCACATAGGGGTATTTAGCCCATTTATGCGGCCCAAATTATTTTTATGAACATTTAAACTCGAAATGTTTAGAAAAGATGTGTTATGACCAGGAACGGATTTTTAGGACCTAAAAACTTATAAAAAAGGCAAAATTAAATAATGAAATAGGCTGGAAAGGCAAAATAAAATAGGGAAAAAGGCACGAAAAGGCACTAGGTATTGAAAAATACCTAATCAATAATAATTTAAATATGGAACGTTTGAAACGTTCATATTATCAGAAATAAGGGCGTTTTCCTCGCCCCTTACAATTTTATCCACACCCCTTATTGTCTCCAAGCCTACGTTAGCTGAGAAACCGGCTTTGAATTTTTCCAACTCCAATTTGGCAAGAGATCCCTGCGCTTCTATAAGCCGCATGGGCATGTGTATATTTTTTAATCTTAAAAAAAATTGTAAATGCTATAATCACTTTTTTAAAGGTAGAAAAGGCAAAAAAAGACAAATATCTTAAAAAAGGCGAAAAAAGGCAAATATCATAAAAAAGGCAACATCAATATCATAAAAAAGGCAATCAGGGAAACTATGTTTTTAAAAAATTTTACACTGAAAATTTGTCTGTGGCAGCGCTGCCCACGATGCAAATTGACATCGCGCATAGGGGTATTTAGCCGATTTATGCGGCCAAAATTATTGTTATGAGCATTTAAACTCGAAATGTTTAGAAAAGATGTGTTATGACCAGGAACGGATTTTTAGGACCTAAAAACCTATAAAAAAGGCAAAATTAAATAACGAAGTAGGAAAAGGCAAAATAAAATAGCGAAAAAGGCACGAAAAGGCACTAGGTATTGAAAAAAGGCAAAAAAAGGCAAAAGAAAATAGCGAAAAAGGCAGGAAAAGACACTAGGTATTGCAAAAAAAGCAAAATAAGGCACTAAAAAAAGACAGAAAATACGAAGACCAATCAAAAAATATATTTATTTTAGAAATTTATATTACAAGTGAAAAGAGAAAAACAATGAACTAGTTTCATTATATGAAAAATTTGTACTTTGAATCTTTGACTATTTTATCCT